TACAGAGATGATCTCAAGACTGACTTTTCATCAGACACCGCATCTTTGCCTACAGCTACTTGGGGTTGGTTGTGCCCACGATCTTGCTTATGACTCTCGGCGCGGCTATCGGTGGTGCTATGAGCAACATCCCCGAGTGGCAAATCGGCTTCGATAGCACCTTGGTCGGCGGCGTTCTCGGAGCCATGCTCTCCCCAGCCGGCGGATTCGGCAAGTTCATTCTTGTCGTCCTTGCATTCACGCTGTTGGCAAACATTTCCGGCACCATGTACGCAATTACGCTGAACTTCCAGACCCTCATCCCGTCGTTCCGCCTGCCGCGATACATTTTCTCCGTTATCGTGACCGCCATTATCATTCCGATCGCGGTCAAGGCAGCACACGACTTCTTTTTGAGTCTCGAGAACTTCATTGCCCTCATCGGCTACTGGTCTGCGTCCTTCGTCGGAATCGTGGTCACCGAGCACTTTGTCTTTAGGCGCGGTGACTCCAAGCTCTATGAGGTTGCGGTGTGGGACGTGCCCTCCAAGCTGCCCCTGGGTATTGCTGCTATCGGCGCAGCTGTGTTGAGCTTTGGTCTCGTCGTTCCTTGTATTGCCCAGGTCTGGTTTACGGGTCCCATCGCGGTCTCGACAGGAGACATTGGCTTCGAGATTGCGTTCTTCTTGAGCGCTGTCTTGTATGTGCCTCTGCGTTACGCCGAGAAGCACTACTCGGGACGGTAATGGGTTGTGATGGTTATGAAAGACAGTATAGAAATGATTTTCACTAGCTCGAGGAGGTGGAGGAGATCTGTGATCAATGCCAATCACGTTCAGGTCACGGCATTCATTTGGCTACTCCGTGTATGTTGCACCACTTTCGATGCTCTTCTCCGGCGCCTCATCATCCTGTCATAAACGGTACAAATTTGTACATTGAGAAACAAGCCAATACCGCGATCTTGCATTAGCATAACTTGCCAATCAAGCTCCGCCATCCATCCCCATCAAGAAAAATGCTTCCATAATCTCCCGCGGTACCTCGGATCTTATCAACCGCTCAAGCGGCTAAATGGCAGCAAACACCTCCTTTGACTTAGGATATAATATCCATGAGGATGTCCCTTTCGATGGTTCCACAGCCTTGATGTTGCATGCAGAACCCTTCGGACTAGGGTCAGGTTTAGTTTGCGACAACCAACAAGAGACAGGGAATAGTCAAGGACCCCTCACTCGAACGACTCCACCAGGTACTGGAGCTTACGGATCGTCTCACTGCAGGGTTTCGTTGCAGCTCTTCCCCGAAGATGCTGTTCAATAAGAATTATCCACCTGGCGGCACAGGCGCTGACTTGGGAAACCCCTTTGATCATCTTGTTGACAGTCCTAGGTGCCGGCAGCTCGCCGTAAGCTGGCGTACATAATGAAGGGGAAGTACTGCTTTCGTATCTCTTCAAACCGCAACGCTCCCAGTTCTCTTCTAGATTTACTTGGCTACATCCCTTGAAGCAATCTTCAATCTCCCTCCTCCCTCCTCACCTCCTCACGATGGCTGGTATCGCACCTGGAAAGACCTTCACCCCTGGGTTGGACTTCAGCAACCAGTCTTACAGCAAGCTCAGCGAAAAGGTTGAGGCCGACGTCAGCCGTGCTCATGAGATCATCAAGGAAAAGCTTCCGCTGCTCGCCCAACTGAACGCACTCGTCTCCTTGACATTCGGAGATCGTGCCCCAATCTTTGTGGATGCTCGTTCATCTGAGGCGAGATTCCTCGACTCTTGCTCCGATAAGCCAGATACAAAAGTCACAATCAAGCCCGAGTACATCTCTCAGTTCTACGAGGGCAAGCTCGAGCCTCGATATGGCCTGTTCAAGGACGCCTTCTTCCACGAGGCTTCAATGCCGCAGGGCAATGTCCCCGTGGCCATCAAGTTCGCCGACCTCCTCACTCCCAACCCTCCCGTACCGCCCAAGAAGGTCGTTCCTGGCGCCTTTGCCCGTCTTCCTCGGCCAACAGAGGATATCGACCAAGTCAAGCGGGATATCAAAGAGTTTGGCTACGGTCTCGTCAAGAACGCCCTGACTCCTGAGCAAGTTTCTATCTTGAGGAAGGGAACCCAGGAACAAGCTGCTGGCGAGCGCAAGGCTGGCGTTTCCGCCGCGGACGGTGGCCCAAACGCCCCCAACCAGCGCATCTGGACTCTGATCAACAAGGGAGAGGAGTTCCTCGATCTTCTGAACCACCCTCTCATCGATGAGATTGTTCCCTGGTTCCTCGGCGAGCATGCTCTTATCCATAGTTACAGCGCCAACATTGCCCGCCCCGGAAACGTTCCCATGCAACTTCACACAGATCAAGTTGCCATTCAACCGCCTGTGCGTGAGCTCGCTTTCGGCCTCAACATCATGTGGTATCTCGAGGACATCACGGAGAAGAATGGCGGCACCCGCGTGTTCCCTGCGTCTCACCTTGGTCAAATTGCCCCTGATGACCTGTTCACTGTCGATGGCACTGTCGCCGCCGAAGGGTCTTCTGGCACTGCCTTGGTGTTTGACAGTCGGCTGTGGCATGCTACTGGCCCCAATCGTGAGGAGTCTGGCGAGCGTCCGGTCATTCTGATCTTCTTCATGCGGTCCTTCATTCGCCAGCAGGAAAACAACTTCCTGTCACTGCGCAAGGATGTCGAGGCTAAGTTGTCTGACCGCCACAAGCGTCTACTTGGGTTCTACACTACGGGTGCTCTTGGTGGGATTGAGGGCGAAGTCCGGGAGGGTATCTTTGTGACAAGGAAGGATGATTGCGTTGGAACATTACGCGCCGCTCACGAGTGAGCACTTGCGCGCCTTGATAGCGACCTCAACACCTGTATCTTAGCTTGTCTGTAGAATCTGATGAAGATCATCCAAGTGCCCATGTCAACTAATGACCTATCCCTTCGTGTCGCTCAACGATCACTCCGTCCAGTCTCTCATCTGTGTGATCGAATTCGCCCACCTGCCTGGCCATTTGACCAGCATCTATGGAGGCGGTATTTCACCCAGCCTCAACATTGACCCTGGCTATCCTATTCTTGAACCCGTTGTTGGAGTCTCGAAGAGCAAAAATGAACCCTGCCGTAGCCCCACGTCTTCATCAGAGAGAAGCCGCCGTTGTGTCGTCCTTGTGCACTGTGGAACTTTTCTGCTCATCCCGAAAGCCCCCTGGACGGCACGGTCTCCACTATCTCCGTTGGTTCACTCTTGTATGTCTCTTGCTGCCTCACGAGCTTCCAACAGAAAATCGCCCATTTGACACGTAATAGCCGAGTTTCAAGGCCTTTCCATCGATGATGCAACCTAGTCCTGGGGCGCTAGTAGAGAACATTGCAGCCGGCAGGGTTCTTGTTTGCCAGATTGTCACTGTTGGTAATGGGAATCCAACTCCGGTTGGAACGATACTGCATCGGCAGAGTTTCTTCAAAGAGGGATGCCGAGCAGATCTCAGATCCATAATCTCCGTATTGTGAATCTCGCTAACATTGAAATACGAGCGGTGCAGGCGAGCGTTGGGGGACAATGTTTAGCAATCAGGACCCTGACTGTTCTCGCCCTCAACTGGCTAAGAGCCACGAGGTCCATGAGGCTACTGAACTACTCAGTATGAGTTTGATGAATAGCAATTTCATGCCTAGAAATTTCTACCAAGCTATATCTACCAGACGTATTGAGAGTGCTTGAGCTTATGATAACGGCATGTGCTCAGTCACATGATGGTGTGAGTGTCGCCTACAGGAAGGTCCACGCTACGAATGTCGAAGCTCAGTGTTTGCTTCGATCGATGATAGTGGTCCATCCTTTGGCTGAGTCACTTAGCCGGGCTGAGAGAGTCGATTCTAAAAGACAGAAGCCGGGTCATGCGACAGGCATCCATACTGCGTCGTTCCAACAGCCAAGAAAGCACATCTCCACCAAACAGATCCACAGCTCTTCGCAGGCATCGTCTTCCAACATCCAGTCCCTGGACAATCATTCTGCTGTCGCAGTTCCACTCCTCGAAGCAGGCAAGTGGGTGACAGAATCGTTTGCCGCTCTATGAACCCTAGCTCTTTTCCTACCATTTTTCACTTTCTACTTCTTGAAGAGTATTCTCTAGTAAATATATAGAAGTTAACTAATAATAGAATAAATAGGTCGTAAGTGTTATAATCATTTGTTGACTGGTGATCTAATTTGTCACCCACTTAGCAGGTACAAGCAGTTGCACAGTGATGTTGGAGGCTAGTGCAGGGTGTCTGGGCTGCTCATATCCATAAAGGATGGCATCGTGAGATTTACTTTGAACATGGATGGCAGGAACTTTTGTACGCAAACAACCCATAGAACCGCTCCATCAAATCCCGACCCTGGGTTTCCAAGGCCGCCCCAAAAGGATTTGTATGGCAACCAAATCATATCGGAATCATAAGTCTCGACGATCAGGGGCTTGCAATTCAGGGGGTAAAATGAACGCCCGAAAGTTGAAATGTAAGTGGACCATGACGATTGTCTATCGATGAACATGGTTCAATCGATGTCCCAACACAAATCTCCTGTGTCTCTCTATTGCAGGATATTCAATGTTTGTAGAAGTGGTTGATCTTTGCGAGTTTTGATCGCTCGGTAGATGGCAGGGGATCTGAAGAATCTGTTCTTCAGTCAAACATTCTTCAAGACCATATCATCAAGCATCCGGCCACAGACAGCACTTTTTTCGTCAATATCTTGGATCGCTGCACGACGTCAAGCAGAAGGGCTATGCTCTGCTGAAGAACCTTGAAACTGCCTATTGAAACTCAAGGGTCATCAATCTTTCGAGTGCAGCTCTCAAAATGGCGGCGAAGCCTTTCGACGAGATGGAGGTGAATTGGATCACTAAACCAGATCTCCTGGGGATGGCGACCCTGGGAATTACAATTTGCCTGGGATCCATATCTTTTGTTGTATTCATCCTACGACTGTGGGCACGACACAAGACGCGGGCAACAAGAAGATGACTACCTCATGGGCATTGGCGTGGTGAGTATTTTGTACGATCTTGCTTTACTTTCTGCCACTGACTATTTGACAATAGGCGATTTACCTGGCATGCTGCGTCTTCACCTCCATCGCGGTATATGCAGGAATGGGAACAACAGATGCTCATTTGCAAGAATGGAATATGGTAGCCGGTATCAAAGTACCTTAAGTCTTCATTCCCTTTTCTACAACCCCGTATTCGAGTTAGCAGACTAACCCCAATGTCGAACAGTGGCTTGTCTTTTTCCAGATTACTTACGCATGGAGCCTTCCATTCATCAAAGCCAGTATCTGCTTAACTGTATTCCGCATCACGAATCGAAGAAGATACCGAACCATCCTTTGGGCCGTCATGATTGCATCAGGACTCAGCACCACCGTCGGCTTCATTGCCGTGGTTGCAGTATGCCGCCCAATGGAGTACACTTGGGATAAGTCAGTGGACGGACAGTGCGCACCTCAGAATATTATTACCACGATTAGCTACATGATCTCGGTCCTAGCAATTGTAACCGACTGGACCTGCGCAATCGTCCCGACAGTTGTTGTGTGGGGCTTACAGATGAAGTCGAGAGTAAAAGTTTCTGTTTGCGCTGTGCTTGCGCTAGGTGCGATGTGGGTTTTTTGAGCAGTTCAATAATGAATCTGCTACGATTGCTAACTATTATGTTACTCCAGTGCAAGCGCCGCTACGATAGTCCGACTGCCGTACTTGCAATACTATAACCAAGTCGAGAATTACTTGCGTAAGTGTTCGCTCATTTTGTAGCTTGTCTCTTTCTTTTATCGCCGTGGCTGATCAGATGTTTTCCAGATAACATTGCAAATATTGTTTTGTGGTCGATTCTCGAATGTGGCATCGGTATCATTGCCGGCTCGCTGCCGTCTTTGAGGCGACTGCTCAAGTTCTGGCTAGATAAGTCCAGCAAGGGGTCTTACAACAACACAGGGTCGAATGGTCTGAATGCTATATCTGGAATGCAGGCTGGAAGCAACGGTGTCAGAATGAATAACCTCAGCGGGCGAGGCTTGACAGTTTCGAACTGCCAAAGTGGCCCTCACGACACCTGGGTTCAGCTGGATGATGATTCCGATAGCCAGAAGCACATCATCATGAGAACTCAAGAAGTTACGGTCCAATACGAACCAGATGGTCAATCTCGTGGACGCTGATTTTAAAGAGTCAACATAGATGCGCATTTTGGGCGACATTGAAGGCGCGGGGGAATAGAAATACCTTGTCCCGGGGGCCGGCCTGAGTGCCGGTCGAAGTGGGGCCATCATATCGCCGCCGGACAAGGGAGTGATGTTACACCCTCCCGGTTCGGCAAATGTATTGCTTCTGAAGTTTCCATAGAACCAAGATTTGAAGATGGACTGCCATGAGCATAGAAGACCGAGTGATATGGGATCTGAAGGGAAGCTTCATCATTGGTAATTATGATTACCCCCTTGAGATCGTCACCAGCGGAGTGGAATTGTAGGGTTGGAGAGCCCGCCGGCGCCTTGGCTCTTGGCAGGATGCCGACGGGCAATCTCTGAATACGCGACTGCACGATATGTTCAGACTACTATTTATTGTCTGACTACTGAGGGTGACTGAATATTCGTTTACACCTTGAGATCAGTGAGAGAACAGAGTTCTGGATAGAAGAGTCCTTAGCGATAACCCCTAAACTCTAGCGCTGGCAGTTTGCGTTCCTCCAGTACAACACCTTACCTAATGCATCAATGTGACGGATTTCCGAATGACCTGGGCAAGCCACGGCTGAGTAAGCTCGTATGTGTTTGTCTCTGTCCGGCAATGCCACCCCTGCGAGCAAAGCATCACCGGATGCGGATAAGCCTTCTGCCATTGGCTGTGCGACGTCAATGGCTTCATTTCTATCATCTTCGTGATCCTCCCAACTTTTACTGCACCTTCCAAGACAAGTTCTCAGAATCTCACGAAGACAGTTGAGCATCGAAATTTGAGTATGGCCATGGAGATCCTCCCCCAGGAAGTCGTCGACCAGATCGCATCGAACTTGCACCGACCCGATCTCAAGAACCTACTACTTCTATCGCCTAAGCTTCGCACCGCGGCGGAGAAGTATTCTGACGGCTTCACAGACTGCATTCTGCGAGTGCGTGATCTCTGTGAATTTGAGGAAAAATTTCGCGGTGCGCGCTTCTGCTGGTTGCGGAAGCTGGAGTATAAGCTGGTTTTGCTGCCCCAACGGCTGCCAAACAGGATACGATCAACAGCAGACAACGCCGCAGAAGCGAAGCGCAACGCGGAGTATCTTTCCAGTCAGATCCATCAGCTCTTTGATTGCCTTCAGAACCTCGAAGAGCATGATGGCCCGCAAGGCACGATTGATCTTGCAATCACTAGTCCTGAGACGCGTGAGACGGAGATTAGGATACCAGAAGCATGGTTCATACGGCTTCTTGACCCAAACAGGCTACCGACGCTCACATCCATCGGCTCTCTTTACCTGGGACCTAATCCGACTCAACGGCAGTCGAATTATTTCAGCAGATTCGATCTCAGAGCCGCGCTGGATCTCTCACTCAAACTCCCAGGCATTACGAGCATAAATGCCGAGCTCTTCGACGAACACAACTGTGATGCTGAAATCGATCTGGTCCGCTTCCATGGGCGAGAGGATTTTGCGAGGGCCGCTAAAAACATGTCTCTTCAGACAAGGAAAGCCGAGTTGAAATTCCAGAGTCGGAAGGCGCATCAACTTCTCGACCACGATGCTGCGATGCCGAACCTTATCCTCTCAGGGTCGTCGGACTCCTTTAGCTCAAGTCTTAGACTTCTTTGCCAAAACCTCACCCAAATTCGACTTAGTGCCATTATTGACCATTCCTTTTTCTGGCCCGAGGATGAAAATGGTTCAGTCTGGCCCAATCTGGAGTCTCTAGAGGTCAAATTCCACCCAGCAACCCCATCCGGATCCTGGTATTTCATAGGACCCCGTGGAGAAGGCAAGGATGTGCAGGGATACCCTGTTGAGGCTGTGGAATATGCCACCCAAGGCAATTCCGCTGACAGCGATACCATCATACTCGGCCACGCTCCTTGCAGACCGTCAGGATGGCGCCTCAATCCCAATCCAGGCACACTTTACCCGCTGCTCGCCGCGTTCGCCAAGTCAGCGGCCAAGATGCCTCGCTTGAAAGAAGCAATGATATGGTCACCAATCTGGTGGTACCTGGGAGATCACGTCTCATCCAAGTTCTCATATAACAAAGGATTCGACATGATGAACAGCCAGAAATCACTCGGTTGGGGAATTGGGTACACGGCACCAGATGTTGACGAGGACTCAGGCTCTGTGGGGTCAGATGATGAGGACGTTCGGCTCTTTGAGTGGAGAACCGGCAATTGGGAGGCGGATGACACGTTAAAACAGCTGTTCCACAACATTGGTCGCGAGAGATACGGTGATGAGTTTGAAGACGATTGGGATCCAGACGCAAATCAGGAAGACCTGTTCTTCGAGGGTTTCTGCCAAGGCGAAAGAAATGTGTGACGTCAGATTCGCAGAGATCTGGGAGCGAGATATTTCGGTGCAATTAGTTAGCTTAGCCGATACTGTTTGGCCACCGCGGGCAGTTGCAGTTGCGACTGTGGGCAGTTGCTCGGTGGCTCGTGGGCGCCCAGCTGCCTAAGTAGATTACTGCCTGAATAATAGCCAAACAATACTGCCCGGATAGATCATTGTGCTTTGCCAGAAACCAATATTTCCGATGACTATTCGCAACCTTATCTCCAGTTCCAGGTTCCCTTGATTGGAGGGTGATAACAACTCGACTTCCAAGAAGTACTAAGACCTTGGCTCGCCCCATCCGAACCACTGAAACCCCCAACATCGTCTTCTCGGCATCTCGGCGCTCCTGGGCAGGAGCATTTTATCACTTAAGCGACTAACAAGCCTTCCGCGTCCCATAGTACTTGTGAACCCCAGGACCGAGCGGGTGATAACGGCGGGACACGTTAGAAACCTTGAGAGCAAACATGCCCGCCGGCCACATTGAATTACGACAGAAAATACAAAGAAAACTGTTCCTCACTATGCGGATCCCGCTCCTCCACGCCAAGATCCGGCGGCGCATTAATCAGACATGCGCGACGACGGAGAAAACTTGTACTTTGGGACTTCGTATACCTAGTTTATCCCATTCCAATGGCCTAATCGCTCGATTAACCATTCCGCTCCGATGTACCGGAACAGACGTTCTTGGCTGAGAGCCTTTATCAGCTTCTCGGGGATTCGTAGTGACTGGCCTCGGGGAGTAGTAGATTTGATTAGCATCTAGCATACGTCAAAAGCACGGGTTACTGATAAAAGTGATAAAAGCCCGGCGGCCATTGACAAACGGCTAACAAAGCAGACGGAGCGCTTTTGCTCTGACATATTTCTATCGACTCCCCCGCTGATCCAGGCATCGCCCTGAACTGCTGGGAACGGGTCTGATGCTAAAGTTATACCAAACACAATTCAGCAGCCAATAGGCATCTTCTTCTCGATAGAAACCATGGACTCGACACCAGTTCTAAACCAAGGATGGGGGTCGGTTTCCTTCCGACATAGTTACGGAGTTTTGAACGCTAACAATATCTAGCTATGGACTCATGATTGGACTTGGTGTTCTTTTTGCGTATGTTACATTTTCCCAGTCCTGGGCGTCAGGCCCAAATGCTGATCCAACTCACAGCGTGTTCATGATCATTATCACTTGGGCACTCAAAAGATACAACTATGAGCTTCAGACATCCGAGATGTTTACGACAGCTGGGCGGTCACTAAAATCGGAATTGGTAACTATCGATCGGTTTCATACGACAACCTTCAGCGCTGATTCTTGCTAGGTCGCCTCATCTGTCCTTTCAACTTGGACATGGGCCGCGACTCTGCTGCAAAGCACAGCCGTAGCTTACAAATAGTGAGCTCTATGATAACCTTTTGTCTACTAGTGAAGCTGACTCCATCAAGCGGTGTTTCAGGGCCCGTATGGTATGCCTCTGGGGCCACTGTTCAAATCATCCTGTTTGCCACGCTCGCTATTGAGCTGAAGAGACGTGCTCCCAATGCGCACACATGTGAGGCTTTGATAGGCAATGGCCCCGTGAGTCTTGACTAACCTGGCTCTCCCAGTCCTAGAAGTCGTGAAAGCTCGATATGGCCCGGTCACACACGGCGTGTATATCGTTTTCTGTTGCTTCTGCAATGTCCTAGGTAGGTCTCGACCTCATCGCTCTGGTCATCATTATACTAAGTTCTCGTTCAGTGACGGCGATGCTCCTCACTGGTGGATCTGCGGTTATTCAGAACTTGACTGGCGCCCCCGTAGCAGCTTCCGTATTCTTGTTTCCGATCGGTAAGCACCTAATGCCAGAATTCCCAAAGCTTTGAGTCGCCGTTCTAACTGTTGGACAGGCGTGGTTGTTTACACCCTTTTCGGCGGAATCAAAGCCACCTTTATCACGGACTACATCAACGGCCTAGTCATCCTCATCATCATCTTCATCTTTGCTTTCACAGTCTACTCAACAAATCATCTCCTAGGCTCCCCCGGGCGAGTGTGGGAAATCCTAACTGAACTTGCAGCTGAGCGCCCCTTGACAGGAAACTCTGGAGGGAGCTACTTGACAATGCGCTCCCAAGGAGGAAGTAAGTTCTTAAGTTCAAGTTTTAATACGACTCCACTCACAGTCACATAGTTGAGTTCTTCATCATCAATCTCTGTGGCAACTTCGGTACAGTGTTTTTGGATAACGGTTATTACAACAAGGCAATTGCAGCGAGTCCGATTGATGCCCTTCCGGGTTATGTTATGGGGTAAGGCCCTTGCGAAAAGTTATGAGAGTCTTGTGTTCTGACACCACTCCAGCGGAATCAGTTGGTTTGCCGTTCCTTGGCTCACAGCGACAACTATGGGTCTCGCCGGTCTCGCCCTAGAAAAGTACGATATATGGCCGACATATCCGAACCGTCTAGCCGCTGCGGACGTTGATGCTGGATTGGTGCTACCCACCGCCGCCGTAGCCCTGCTTGGAAAGGGTGGAGCGGTTGCAACTCTCATACTAGCCGTGAGTAGTTCTTACAAGCTCGAGGCCATCTAGGTTGCTAACTTCTAGTAGTTCATGGCTATCATGAGCACTTACTCGTCTGAGCTCATCTCTGTGTCGTCCATCTGCACCTACGATATCTACAAGACCTACTTCAACACCAACGCTACCGGCAAGCAGCTTATGCGGATCAACTACATCGGCATGGGCGTCTTTGCTCTTGTCATGGCTGGGTTCGCAACTGGCCTGAACTACGTAGGTATCTCCATGGGCTACTTGTACCTCATGATGGGTGTCATCATTTCTTCCGCCGTCTTGCCAGCTGCTCTCACTCTGCTCTGGGATGGACAGTCTTGGGCCGCGGCCACCTTCAGTCCAATCATCGGATTCTCCCTTTCGATGACGGCATGGCTCGTCACAACGAAGATTAAGTACGGCGAATTGAGTGTTACGAACACCGGTGCAAACGAGCCGATGTTAGCCGGAAACTTGACATCGCTCCTTTCACCAATTGTCATCATCCCACTTTTGACCTTTATCCCACCTTTCAAGCCCCAGCAGTACGACTGGCAGAGTATGCTCAACATCCGACAAGCGGACGATCATGAGCTCGTTGACGCTGCTCATATGGATGTTGAAAACCCTCCCGAAGAGAGGGCGAGGGCACTGCAGAGTGATCCTGACGAGCAGGTCAAGCTCGAAAAAGCAGCCAAGACTGCTCGCTGGCTGACTGTTGGTGTGACACTCGTTCTGCTCATTCTATGGCCGATGCCGTTATATGGCACTGGCTATGTATTTGGAAAATCTGTGAGTGCTTGTTCAATATCCAAATAGAATGCTGTACTAATACCGTGCCGCAGTTCTTCACCGGCTGGGTCGTTGTAGGAATCACTTGGCTATTCGCCTCTGTTGTCATGGTTGTCTTCTTACCGATCTTCGAATCTCGGAGCACGATTGTGCAAACTACTCGCATGATGATCAAAGACCTCTTCGGCCTGAGAGGCAAGGGAAAGCCCGTCAGTGAGGGCATGTCGCCTGGCTCAAGTACGCCACCGGAGCTCACGGAGAAGGCAACGTCCGAGGCATAAAGTGTTCTTTAGTCGATCTTCGTAACTAATGTTCATGTAGTACTTCAAGTATGTCACATATAAATGCTTTCCGGACATGATCTGCGCACTACCTAGTATCCTGTTCTAAAAGTTCTCGTTCGAAGCCACATGCTCTGATGCTGAGAAAATGCTCTTGGTCTATTCATTTCCGCATACTATCGGATTCCAGTATTAACAGAACGACAAATTGTCTCAGCAGGCTTAAATATTTAATGAGCCTTGGTGCGAGTTTACAGGTAGCGACTCAACTAGGCGATGATTATTGGTGGAATCCATTCGTTGCGTGCGTCGTGAAGCCTTTGAAAAATCCAAAGATATCCTCGACGGTTGCAAAGTCGAATGTGCCAGCAACATCTGGATTCACAACGTCAATCTACGAATATTGGATAATTTGAAGGTCTCTTTGAGGGAACTTACACTGATCTGGTCGGACGAGCACCATCGCGCCAACCTCCGGGTCAATGCCATATTTTACATATGCTTCTCCGTGGCCTGCATGGTAACTGACATCATCAACGAAAACATTTTGCAGGCCTGCATAATCTCATTAGCCAGAAGTACGTGTAAGATCGAATCGTTGGAGGAGGAGGTTTCGAGACTTGGTAACTCATGTAATATCAAGGTACTCACACTTGACCCCCCACCTTCCTGCGTTAGGGGTAAACAGCCGTGGTATATGACGATCTTCCAATTTTTGTCGGTCAGAATTGAGCACCAAAACCAGATTCAAGAAGCTGTGGATATCATTTTGAAGTGTCGGAAGCTGTTTCATCGATACTTCAAGCGATTTTGCGACCTGTACACATGTTTAGCAGTGCTATGAGCCCGGTGACAAGGTGCTTTCGTGTTGCTCACCTGGAATAAGCATTTCGCTGCTTGAGCCTGCAAAATATCGCCAGGGAAGACGACCAAAGACCATCTCGAGTCCGCGCGTAGAGCATGCGAAAGTTGCATCGCTTTGGCATCAGAGAAGCGAACGACTTGCGCGCTTTGGAACCTCATTCCCACGCTGACACCAGACGCCAGGCTATCCTTGTGACCAGGCCTCACGAGCATTGACGGCTGATATTGCGTGGCTAGACCAGCAGTGTATCTGCCCGATTTGATAAAGTAATCTTGGAAGTCTTCAGTAGTGTACCCATTTTCTTTCCGGTACGCCGAAGAAAACATCTTTGCAAATTGCCTGTCAAAGTCGATGAGGCCCTTGGCGGTCTGGTGGCGTTCAGAGACGTACGTCTCCAATATTGAGGGATGGACGTGCTTTCGGAGGACTGCGGCGAGTTTCCATCCAATGTTGTACCCATCTTGAAGACTGACATTCATTCCTTGTCCAGCCTTAGGCGAATGTGTGTGGCAGGCGTCGCCAGTAAGGAAAACTCGATGATCTTTCGTGAAATGGTCCGCAAGCCGTTGCCCGATGGAGTATGCAGAGAACCAGGATGTCTCGGCTATTTCGACTTGGTAAGGCTTAAAAATGCCATCGATGCGTTCTTTGACTCTCTCAGGTGTGACTTCCCCTGGAGTTGAGACTGGCATTTCCATGTAGAACCTAACCATCTCGTCGCCTTCTCGTGGAATGATGACCAAATTGCCCGAGTCAGACTGAATGACGCTTTTCTTCCGAATATCGGGAAAGTCGGTCCTAGGGTAGATGTCCATGACAGCCCAGACCACGTCACTGCTGTCGCCCACCATCTTGAAGCCGAGGGACTTTCTGACCGCACTATGGGCTCCGTCGCATCCCTAGATTTTGTGATCAGTGCCGTCTTCAGCTCACACGCAACCTTAGCGGGACTCACCAAAGCATACTTGGCATGATACGTGCGCTCAACGCCATTCTCCATTGTCTTCACAGTCACGCAGCGGGCATCTGGATTTCCCGCAGCTTCACTATCGACAACAACTTCACGTATATCACTTCCATACTGGATGTGTGATTTACCAGAAGACTTCACAATATCCTCGATCAAAATCTCATTGATGCGTGCCTGGTTCAGAATCACATGGGGTAGATGGCTGAGACCAGGCTCGGTGTCTGGCTCGAGATGTGACCTACGAATTCCGCCCTTGCCGTCGGGCGACCAGAACGCAAGTTCGAGAACGTGGTAAGCTTCCTTCAAGACGTCCTCGGAGAGGCCTAGGTGTTCAAGGATTTCGACTGTGCGAACTTGAACACCGTCTGCCTGACCTTGCTTGAGGGGACCTTCGCGCCGCTCAAGGATCTTGAAGTTGATGCCGCATCGGGCTAGCCAGACTGCTGCGCAGAGACCAGCTAAGCCGCTGCCGCAGATAAGAACGTCGTGCTCTTCAGGCATGTTGGAAACAAAATGACGATAGTGAGATCCAGTGTAGCTTGTTTTCGATCGCATATGACACTTCTGATTGCTCGTCTTATACATCACTAGCCAGCCGAAGCTCCGAAATCAGCTACCGAGCGGGGTTAATAATTATTTCCCCGGAAGTCAACTTGTGCGGGGGATTGTCATGGGGGGCGTCCCTGCATACAAAGACGTTTCCTGTGCATCCGACCAGTCTTCCGAATTCCGCCCGGGATATGAGGTCGGCACCGGACACGACACCCACCAAACTATTGAGCCTGTGGATCCGGGTCCGCGTGGGTCCTCGAGATACCGACGGGGCCACGGCAGGTTTTTCACAAAATGCCGGAGCTTCGGCCACAAGATATTCATTTGAAAGGATCGAGCATGCCGCCTTGTTGCGATCGTATCAAGAAAGTATGGTATTCCAATGCTGGTGTATGACGAAACCTGCTTTGACTAAGCGCTTATGCACCCCAATTTACCCCTCAGTTGCGCGCCTCAACACAGCATGACGCCTTGGGCCCTTGGCTGCAAACGCAAAATGAACAAGATGGGCAAAAAAATGTAGCTAGATAAGGGCAGCTAAATGGAACTTAACCAGTCAAATTCTGCCTCGGCGGATCATATTTCCATTTCCACAATTTTACGTCATCAAGTACATGAAAGAATTTCTCCTACCTTTTCACTCCCCTGCGCGTCATCATCGCAAGTCTGCCATCCTCCAAAGCAACTAAATCAATCATTCAACAAATCACCATGTCTTCCTCCGTCATTCCCACTTCCACCTCTGTCGTCGAGAGCGCCGTCATCAAGGCTCCTCTCAGCCATGTCTGGAACTTCATCAAGCGTAAGTGCAGTAAAAATCTGGCCCAGGCAGTGGGTCAAGGATGAGTATGGGCAAACGCTGATATCGAGGTCTCAACAAATAGTCCAGAACTTCCAGAACTTCTGGTCTGCTCTGAAGGGCAGTGAGTTCGTCAAGGCTCAGGAGGAGACCGAAATCGTCAGATGGACTTTCCAGGACGGCACCGTCCTCGAGGTCAAGCAGGAGGAGCACAGCGTAAGTTTCTTTGATCGCGGGGTTACTTCCTCATGATTGCAAACAGAAGACTACACGGAAACTAATTTCAACATTCAGACCATCAACCACTACATCACCTACAGCGTCATCACCTCCCAGCCTGAGCTGTCTTACACCTCTGTCGTCAGCACCATCCGCTGCTACCCCGTCACCTCCGGTGAGAACGAGAACAGCACCTTCGTTGAGTGGACCGGCAACTTCTCCAGCGACGCCGATGCTGGTGTCATCCAGGACGCCAAGTTCAAGCGCCGTGAGGCCCTTGCCGACCTGGCCAAGGCTGCTGCCAAGTTGTAAATGTTTAAAAGCAATGGGACTGGAATGTCAAATCGCTGAACCCTTGCGCTTGCATCGTCCAGGAAGATAGTCAAAAAAGTAAAAGATACCACTTGTTGTTCACAACTTCTTCCGCCCCTCATATTTCATGCTTGAGTTCACAGTGACCTTCACATTGCATTCTAGATATTCAACCGAAAGGATTTGGAGTGAGACAAAGTGAGCGAGACTCATTGAAACTTGCCTTTATGAGTAAGTATCTTGTAGTAAAGTGGACACAAGCCATACTTCACTTCGAGTTTTACTAGTAATGAATAATAACTTATAGAGGACTCGCACTGCCTCTCCATTGAGGGCAGCTGCACTCTTGTCATCAGCTTGCAACTCATTTTAATAATCTTTTCAACCTCCTTCCTGCATTTTCTCTTCGATGAATTCTCCTTTCCAAAGTCTCCAACCTCATACCATGCCAACCCTCCTTCTCAAATTCGCCAATCTCATTATCAACAAAGCTCTTAACAATTGCATGCCTACACTGAACTGCTGCCAATAGCGGTTTCGAGCCAATGGGTTCCGAGTTAGGCCAAATAGCAGTGACAGAGCGTATCCCACAACAGCGGCAATTGCCAACTTCTTTGGCCATGTCCGTCTCTTGCGCCCGGCATGGGTCGGTCCCTTTGATATGTCAGCACTTTACCGTTCCAAGTTACCTCGTCTCACTCGCATGCTTACACGTATTTCCAAGTCACCAAAGTCGGGGAACAAGCAGCGATACCAGAAGTACGCTTGAGAGTAAGGATATGTCGAGCCATTCCACTTCTTACCGTCCGTTGTGTCCTTCAGATACCAGCTAGTGCATCCCGTAGACCATACAGTCTTTTGCATGTCGGCCTGCATCTGGCTGACGTATTGCTGCTCTGCCTCTCTAGTAACTTCGACAGTCATTCCCTTGCCATCAAGCACCGGTTTGATAATGCGAAGTGCAAAGTTAATGGAGTTTTCCGCTGCGATGATGGTGGACGTGTGGCCTGTGAGTGAGTTCGGTCCTAAAGTGAACTGAATTAGCAACCACCCTACCCCTGTATGGCATGTAGTGGAGAGCCTACCAAGAAGTACAAAGAAGTTTGGGAAACCGCTTGCAATCGTGCAATTGTAGGCCTCTGGGCCACCAAACGACTCCCAATGCTGGTCTATCTGCTCTCCATTTCGACCAATGACATCCAGGCCCCCAACCGCATTGTTTGTAACGAAACCATTGGCCAAAACGATGACATCCGCCTCTGTGACGCCTTCCCGAGTTCGAATACCCTCTGGTACAATTTCTTGGATCGGGTCGTCTTGTAGAGTGAGGTTTTCCGAGTGCAAGCTGTTCAAGTAACCTGAGTCGAAGATTCGTCTCTTGCAGCCGAGTTCGAAGTCAGGTATGAGTTTGTCATGATACTTCGCCGGCGCCGTTGTCTTCATGTACTTCTCAGCGTTGGCTCTAGCACGCTTGCGATACTTATTCCCATCATTCGTCATGTAAAACCCTCGCAATGTGTTTTCTGCCGCAGCGAAGACCAGAAATCTCTGCAGCGTCTGTGTTCCTGGCACATGCCTCAAGACATTCTTCATGAACTCTGTATTCTCGTTGTCGACGGGGGGTAAGACCCAGTGCTTTGTGCGGATAGCTTGCGTGAGGTGCTTCGTCTTGCCTACAATGGCCGGTACGATTTGCGATGCAGTACACCCGTTCCCAATGACAACAACTTTCTTGTCCTGGATATCCACGGTTTGATCCCACCGGGACGAATGGAAGATGCGACCCTTGAAGCTTGTTGAACCGGGAACATCGATCTCCCGCGGCTGCATGAGTTGTCCTGTGGCAGCGAAGAGGAACTGACACTCATGCGCGAAGACTTGGTTGGTTTCGTAGCGACGGATGTTCATCCTCCAGCGTTTGCGTTCTTCCGACCAGACGCATTGCTCGACATTAACGCCGAACCTCATCTTCTCTATGAGCGAGTATTTCTGGGCCACATCGTGGAGGTACTGCCATAGCTCCTGTTGCGGAGGCAGTACTCGACTCCAGTCTGGGTTGGACTCGAACGAGAAGCTGTACAATGCGCTGGGCACGTCGCATGCACATCCTTTGGGTCGATGTCAATTACTGCCGTGTTTGGCGAAGCCCATACTCGTAAAAGGAACGTTACCTGGGTATTGGTTGATAAACCATGTTCCTCCGAGATCACTGTGCCGCTCAAAGAATTTGATATCGCCTATGCCGTACCATCTTTTCAACGTAGCTCCCAGCCCGATCGCCGAGAACCCAGTCCCCACGCACGCGAACTGACTGTAGGTAGGCGTATCCGAAGTTTTCGACATTTTCCGCATGTCAAATCGGCCTATGTATTGACACTGTTTTCGAAAACGATAGTCACGAGTTATCGTCTCTGACTTCTGGTACACCTGTTGGCTCTGTTCCCAGAAAGGATGAGGTCAAAAACTCAGTTTGAGGAAGCGATCAAACACTCGCGAAGGTTAGGATAGTGCGGGGGAGCATGTCGTCGTCGACCTTGGTCAATGGTGGGTAGTTCACCCATGCCTCGGCTCGTCCCACGTTGGGCGTAGCAGTCTCGTCCGAGGGTGGCAAGCATATGCATGCTACTACGACGTCGTTGTGAAACTTTGTGAGAGCTTCTGAGAAACACCATGACCTAAGAGACCTCGTTTGATGGGGGGATCGCCCTAAAGTGGAGAGCTACGGCCCGGGGATGAGGGGAAAATGGAGCTGGTCGCGGAAGGGTGACGATCCCGCTCAGGACTATTGGGGGACCATGGTTCTTGGCAGATCGGGAGCACACGAGCTATGTGAGAATGCAACGGTTCACGGCCGGAGCGCCGGGGTAACGGAGATGTTGACGCCCCGGTCCATCTCGATCCGGTTGAATTCATCCGACTGGGGGCCCTTGGAGGCCCATCAACACCTCTAGCGAGCGGCAGGTCTCAGCTCTTTGGGCATGCATACTCTGTAGGTGTGACAAGTCAAAATCTTGACAGGATTCGAAGGGGAGAAAACGGAAATTTGTGGCAAATTGGTGATTTTCCATAAGGGTCATATTTGGTTACGTTGAAGATGTGCATTAGTTCCGGTCTCTCTACATCTAGAATACCGAAGACAAAGTCCAGCACATTCACTTCTCTGCAGGTTCCACCATCTCAAATTGACCAGTCGTGTCATCAATCTTTTGCCTTGGCGTATACGCGATATCTTTCGCGCTCGCAGTAGTCTCCCTCGCAAGACGCCACAACCACTCAGGACCAGCTCGCTGCAAATCAGTCACGTCAGTGAAGTCTAATAAATCGAGGAACGCATAGAATTTACCAGGGCTGTCACAGATGACATTATACCGGGCAGATAGATCGTCCGTCCGAAGCCACTGTAAAGGGAATTCACGATGGCCTCTCCTACCGAGTCCACATGAAGGAGCGGCATCATGAAGTGAGGCTGACCGGGGTCAAAGGGAACCAGCGGCGTTCGGATGAAGCCAAAGATTCCAAGCGTTTGACGAACTTTGGGCGCTTTGTGAATGTATTTCAGCTCAAGTTGAAGTGACTGGGAAGTGTTAGCGGTCATCCCAGCGCTCGACAAGTCAAAAGAAGTAGCATTTACCTCATGCATTGCGGTGAGCCCAGCCTTCGTGGCAGAGTAGTCAGCAATTCTCACTGGGGGAACCACCGAACTCATCGACCCGACGTTGACGATATGGCCATGATTGGTGCGAACCATGTGCGGCAAAAATTCCTTCGTAAGCAGGAAGGGGGCGAGCAAATTTGTCTTGATGGTCAACTCAACGTCTGCGTACGAGCCTTCCATGACGCTGTAACCCCGTGCGATTCCCGCATTGTTGATGAGAACGGTAGGATCGCCGACTTGAGTTCGGATCGACGTGCAAAGAGTCTTGAGCGCCTTTGTGTCGGTCAGATCACACTTGAAGAAGTGGATGTTGGAACCTTTCTGAGGCTCCCATAATAGCGGAGCCAGGTCGACAACAACGATAGTTGCCTGGGGGTTTCTGGCCAAGATGTGTTTGATGATACTGTGGCCGATGCCGCTGCTGCCACCGGTGACAACAATTATTTCTTTGTCAAAATCCCATGTGTGGTCTGTCGTCCAGTTGTTTGCTGACCATTTGTTGAGATACTCGGTGGTTGACAAGACGAAGCTTGCTAGAGCCGCGAGGAACGCAACGCGCTGAGCGGTGTCAAATCTGATGTCTGAGAGTCCGACCGCTCCGTTCTTTTTTGCTGATACCACCGCCAGTCCAGTTGCAAGCGGTATCGAGAGGTATGGATTGAGGACTGATTTTCGGAGCCATCTGGCAATCACGTCGACCGTGAATCCTTCTCGTGAGGTCAACATGGTGCAGTTGTCACTAGCGTCATCAATCCCACGAGACACTTAAGACAGACAGGACTTTTGATCATTAAATGAAGCTTGAATACTGTTTGGGGTTGGTATTTTAATGTTCTGGGCGAAACTGTCACGTTTCAACGTGAGCCGAGATCGACGCCAACAGCTTTGGAACGATCCCTCCAAAGTGAGGAGCCGAGGTCCGGAGCCACTTCCACGAGATCAGACCAAGCGACTTGATACCCCAATCTGCACGAGCATGAGGTTTGGAGATCCAAGCTTCCTTTCCCTGCACGTCAAAGTGAGGGGCATCCCCCACGCAATAATGCAAGGGTCTAACCTGAAGAAGCACCATGATGCTACGTGGGAGACCGGTCTTTGTGACGAGTTTAAACGAGTGCGAACTACCTTGTCGGCCAATTTACACCAAGCTACTGTTACCTCTGCCACCCTGAACAATCTTGAATTATGCCTCGGTTGGAAGCATCGGTAGTTGGAGCGTCTCTTCGGTTGCCCGTGCCTCCTGCGGATTCCTGCGGACAGACTTGTCAGTGACATTCTGAGCCACATTTGCGTTTCTTGTCCATGTCAAACCTCCTGTCTGAACCTGTCTGAACGTTGCTCCAGACTTCCAAAGCCACCCTGCGCTGTGCGGTGGTGGTTGCTTACTCACTTGCCAGTTACTCGTAGCACAGCCTTTGCTCATTTCATTTATGTCGGCCATACTGCTGGATCGTAGACAGCTTTGACACCAGACGAACCGAATCCTTAGGCACACTAGTAGACTTCTTTCCGGGTGCGATCATCGCGTGCGAGTGCGACTGAGAAACGAGAAAACATGTCGGTATCGAGACCGCAGCTTTCGCTGTGGGAGAAGAGAGACTTGGTCTTTCGTTTGCTATTCCGTGGTATGTCTCGCCTTCAACATGGCTACTCCTTTACAGCGAGGCATTGAATAGTGACTGACTCCGTGTGTTGATAGCTCCGATACAACTGGCGTGGAATTTCTTCTACGGCATCCCGTTTGCTATCGCGAGAGGCGTCTCTATCCGCTTCTTTGCCTTCTGCGCGTATTATCGTTTCGCTCTGGGGTCGATGAGAGCACGCGAAATACAATTCCTCATCCCTCCTTCGATCAAGACGTACGAGAAATGGATCGCGAAAAAGCAGAAGCGTCATCCAGAGCTCGCGGACAAGCTGCAGAAAAAGATCGAGTCTCTCCCTGCTAATGACGGCTCGATCTTGTGGATCGGCAATCGTCAGAAAGCCACAAAGTTTGTGTTGTTTTTCCATGGCGGCGGATACGTAGTGCCTCTTCTCCCCGGCCATCTCGACTGGTGCTGGAACGCGTATGTGACCGGCGGCCCTGGAGCTCACGCAGAGGTTGCCGTTGCTGTCTTGCAGTACACTCTCGTCCCCGAAGCTCGATATCCGACACAGCTCCGTCAGGCGATCGCGGCGTTCAACCAGCTCATCCTATCCGGCATCAAACCCAACGATCTCCTCATTGGCGGCGATTCGGCCGGAGGCAACCTGGCGTGCTCCGTCGTTCGCCACATCTGCCACCCATGCCACCTCGAGATCCCAGCCCTGCGCCTGGAGAACCGTCTTGCAGGTGTGTTCCTGGTGTCGCCCTGGCTTAGCAGCAAGACGACGACGCCGGCTTTCACAGAGAACAACTACGTCGACATGCTCACCACGACATGTATGTCCCGTGCCACGGCCGAGCTCCTTCACCCGCGATTCCCCGTGCGGAATAAGTCCGACGAGAGCGATCTCGCCATGGCGATGCCAATGGACGGCGACATGGCGTGGGTGGATGAGATTTCTGCGGCGACCAAGAGTCTGTACATCACTGGAGGTCAACAGGAAGCTTTCAGAGATGATATTCGCGCGTTCTCGGAGCACGTCAGCTGTGGCAATAATGATCTGGATCTGCTAGTCGAATTGCCGGAACGCGAGGCTCATGATTTCATCTTGCTTGAGGGTCAGACGGGGCGTGTGGGCGATGCGACGGTGAGGATGAGAAATTGGGCGACTTCACAGTTGGGCACCGGGCGCGCTTCAGTGTAATGTAGCATGACAGGGGAGACCCACACATGTATGAGAGGAGGTGGTGGTGGTGGTGAGTTATTCGCGCCAATAAACTCATCGATTGGTTTATTCGCGAGCGAACAAATTGTGATTCGGTATGAGAGAATGACCATGTGCCAGCGTATGTTGAGGGATTGTATTCGCGTGCATATCGCTGTAAGCAATGGAGGTTGAGAGTGAGATTGAAGCTTATGATTGTGAGACTGGTGAGGGGTCTTTTTCACTCGCTGTCACGCTTCCAAGCTGTAACAATGTGAAATTTCACTGTTCATCGCAGTGCAGTGAGGCAACAAGTGCTCCTGAGTCATCATATCCAAACCCTGGCTTATCTAGTGCCTTGAACCCCGGTTCTTATCCCAGTCAGAATGAGCGGTCTGGTCGAATTAGAGAAGGCATCTTCTGCATCTGTCCGCACCACCTGTTTGAAGAAGACGACAAGTTGCCGACGGTCTCGCCAAGCGAGGCCTATTTTGGCCGCTTTGAGAGCGGGGTGAAAAGAAACAGACGCGTCGCGTCCACAAACTCTAGGCAATAGACGGCACAGCATCTCGTCGAGGCTTTTTGACGATAACACACATTCTGCGGGGCATTTTGAGTGCTTTCTGTTCCTTCTCAGATTGTAATAATACTGTGAGTCTCAGGAAACATACCACCAAACTCTCAGACTCACTTTGCTCACTTACCCCTCATATTTCAGCCGTGGCCATCGTCGGCGAGATGCCTCCAGATCAACCCCCCCTCAACTGCGCCTACAACCGTGACGATGTCGTCGCTGGCCTTACTCAATACTATTCGGCTCTCACGCGCCTCGCCTACATTCCATCATCATACGTCGACTTCCCACCGCCAGGAGGCTGGACAGACGCCGATCTAGATATCGGCGCCCTGCGCGCTCTGCGACGCTCTGAGGTCGTTATCGACCTGCTGCGCCATCTCCCCTACGCCAGACCGATGCACGACGGACCTCGTCCGGGCCCCTGGAACGTCGCACCACAAACCAAGGCTGTGCGCTACCTCCGTCACATGGGACACTTCAGTCAGTGGTCCGATCGCGGCGACGCGGGGCTTCATGAGCTTGCTGCCCTTCCCACGCGCGACACGGGAGCCGCTCCGATGGATTTGCCGCCGGATGTTGTCTGCCTCACGTATGGAGAGTACCGTTCTTCCAGTTCGCGCACGAAGCCTTACTGGTGGATCATAGACTGCAGCCGAGGTATCCTCACGCCGTACGAGGAGAACCTCTACACTGTTGGAAAGGTCCCGCGTAACAAGCCGTGGCGGTGTGTACGGTCGTACTCTGTTACAGATTACTTCTCTCAGCTTGTGTCAAGCTTAGGTGTTCAGCTGTTCCCCGTGCCGCCGACCGAGGACGACGACGCTGAGATCCTCGACCCGAGCGCTCTCGCCAAGTCGTCGGAGCCGGTGGACATCTACAGCGCTCACGGCTGGGGCACTGGCGACCTCGCAGACTTCAAGCACGACGAGTGCATCGTCGCGCTCCAGGGCTGGCGGCGCCGGGTACACGAGGCAGAACAGAGAAAGATTGCTCAGGACGTTGACGACGCAGACGATGAGGACTTTGAGATGGACGACAGTGATGACGATGAGGATGCGGCGCACGAGGGAGAAGCGGGCGACGGACTTGCTGATGCCGTGGCGGATATGGAGATGGATGATTTGAGTGCCGAAGCTGCTGCTCTGAGAGCCGATATGAGCCCAGAGGAGCGTGCAAAGTTTGATTGCAGACAGACGCAGTCGCACTTTGAGTGGATCGACGAGGAATGATTGAGATGCAGCATGCCTTATGAAGCCAAGTTTGTCATTCATTTGCAGCTAGTAGATGAGATATAGAACAATGCCAAAAGATAATGACCACGCCCACGCCCCTGTAAGTCAAGTTCAAGATCCAGGTACAAGTCAAGACAGCCTCGCATCACATCTTCGATTCATGCATCACCCTCTTCACCTCATAGTCCCAATTTGGATCGCTCCCCTGACTGTGCTTCTTCAACAAGGCCATCGAGTTGCCTCGCAGAACGTCAGGCGCAAGAACCGAACCCCTCGGATGAGATGCAACAAACCCTTCGTATGAGAGAACCTGGAGCTCAATCAGCGGGTCAGGGCAGTATGGGAAGTCCGATCCGAATAGAATGTGAGACGGATCGGCAAAGTCGAGTAAGCCACCTAACTGTGTCGGGCTGGAGCTCAATGCTGTGTCGTAGTAAAACCGAGCAAAGTCCGCTTGAGCAGTCTCATAATCCACAGCGACGACATCTGCGAGAGCTGGGATGTTGAGTGTTCCCAGGACACGGGTGGCTAGGAATGGGAGAGTTCCTCCGGCGTGCGAGAGAATCACATCGACATCAGGACAGGTGTGGAGGGTCCCGGTCAGGACGAGGTCCACCGCAGCTCGGGTACTTGCGAGTGGGTAGTCGACGATCGGCTGCGGGAGAGTTGAAGCTATGAGCTTCGGCGTCACGTCGAGGCCCGTCGGGTGGAGGAAGATGAGAACCTTGTGAGCTTGAAGCTTCTCCCAGATGGGCTTGAAGGCTGGGTCAACGAGGAGCTTGCCCCCATAGGAGGTAAAGACGGTTACACCATGGCAGAGTCTTTGCTGCTGGTAAAGAAACTCGATTTCTGATACTGTGCCGTCGACGTCTTGCCAGTCCGGTAAGACTCCAAAGAACCCCAGACGTTTCTCTGTCGATGACTTGTTGATCCGGTCTGCGAGATCGCTATTCAAGGTACGTGCAAGCTTTCGCCCGTCTTCACCACTTCCCGCGATTGATGCACCGGGAGCGGAGACTGATAATATGCCTAGCCATGCCATTAGTGGAATGAAGGAATGATACAGTCGTCTCCCCTAATTTATAGAACTTACCTATAGATGTGCTGATGTTATCCATTAGCTTCACGGTGGCATCTAGGGACCACTCAGGCGATGGAAACCCGGAAGGGTCGCCTCCTGCGGCATTCACAGCTGCAAGGTATGCCGGGGGAAGGGCGTGGATGTGTGTATCGATACGTCCTGACATGTTGAACTGGTTTTGATTCTTATTCAGTATCATGGATTTTTTTGAGTTGTACACTCATCTTGTTAAGTACATCTCATGAAGTGTACAAGTGTTGTGGCAACCACTCCTAAGTCCCCGGCCAATACACGGAAGCATAGTGCCGATGGCCGACCCCTCTCGACACCGAGCTGCCGAACTCAACCACTTTGGTCGTCATTGGCTGCCCCTAGTGGTCGGCGTCAGATATTCGCTAGCTCCGACATTTGTATCTGAGTACCTTGTTATCGAAGAAAGTTAATTCTTTTTAAGTTATAAGTAAAGAATACAGTTTTAATAAAATAGTATAGTACTTACTTAGTACTTAAATTAAAATACTTTTTTAAGCTTATTATAAAAAAAAGATAATTATATTACTAACTACCTACTATCGAGGTCCGTAAATAGTGTTATAGCTTTAATCGCTATAGTTTTAATTATAATAGCTTCGCCCATAATAAGTAAAAAGTCTAGTTATAAATCCCTTAAAAGCCTCTTATTAAGAGCTATAAGAGCTTCTAAGTATACTAAGTTAAAATACTTATTAAAATATTAATAACTAAACTAACCCTACGATAACGACTTTAATAAAAAACTTAAAGAAAAATACTAAAATCCTCGCTATCGTTAAGTACGATTTATAAAGCGTAGTAACGTAGCCGCAGAGTATTATTAATATATCCTATACTAAGAAAGGTATTATTAGTACTAACGAAATAGATAGGGCTATATTAATATAGCGCCTCGGCTTCCTCTTATAGCTCGAAAATAATCGCCTTAAATAGTATTAAAAATCTATTAAAAAGCTCTTTTAAGTACTTTAGTATATCTACTACTATTTTTATAATAATAAGACTCCTAGTGCTTATATATAAGAGTAAGTTACTTACTTTTAAATAGTAATATTAGCCTATTAATAAGCTATCGAAATTGTAATTCTAGCGATCCCTTAATGAGGGAGAGGGTAAAATAGAGGAAAGAATGGGAGAGAAAAGGGTTAAAGTTAAATAGTACGGAATTCGAGGGCAGGGTAGCGTCTATATATACTGCGGCAATCCTCTAGTAATGCAAAACGATAGAGTTAAACAGTGCGACATTTGTATTAGGAACGGCATTCGGTGTGTACAATGACCGCGAGCAATCTTTCACTATGCCAATAGCAGCTGTGATGGTGTTTCTTTTTGGTATATTCCTTACGCGCGACGTTGAAGTCCCCAAAGCCTGAATGCCTATTTGACAAAAGAAATCGACTGTGAACACAATGGAGCCACCATGCTAGATGATGGGTAAAGAGATCTGCATGGCACTGAATAAATTCCTTGCTAACACGGTTCGCCTACACCGTAGAGGAATTTGATGGAAGCCATGTATGAAATAACAGGTCGAGCTTCAGTCGAATTTGCATGCCGGATCTTCCACATCATGAGCTTGCCGTTACGTAGTAAATTCCTATCCATTTCGGACGACTATGACACAAAGTTTGACCACCTGAATCTATGACCTGGCCCGAAAAGTATATGTTGTGTGATTGCCTTGGAGCTGCGTTTCTCAGCATATTAATTTCTTGAATTAATATCGTTACAAAATAAGCATCTAGAGAAAGCTCGTCGCGATTCCGATGAGCTCGGTTCACCAGTTTGCTCGTAATTTCCGCGTCTGTAGTCGTTTCTCAGGTAGCACTGGCAATGGTCACGCCTTCAGCTTGGTGAGCGAGGTGGAAGCAAGGAGATAAATGTGCAAATCCCCCATGTAGAGACATCGCTTGAAGGGGCGGTTACACTCACGAACCCGAGCCGTCAAAATGCTCGAAAAGAAAGAACAGCAATCGGCGGCTCTAGGCCGAGAAGATCGTCACTCAGAACGTCATCAGGTCTCCCTTATGTAGTGCGACATTGCTTGTCGTACCCGCTTACCTCGCCCAGCGCTCAGCAAGGTCCTTGATACCTCAGCAGGCTTTCATATTGGTCTTCCAGCCAAGGAATCTTTCCATCCCTATGGGCAGCGACCGAGAGCTCTCGCTTGTGAGGTTTATCCCAGCTCTTCAATCCACATTTCAGCCAGTGTTTCGCTTGCCATCTCTGCGTGCGCTCCATCACAAGTCACTGGTGACTGATGTTCGTGCGGTGTTGCATTATCCGGAATTCTGCAGGGCTTCGCAACTAAGACATCGTTGGAGATTCTTACCATATCCAACGACACACGTTATCTGTAGCACCACATGCTGGAGCTGACAACTGACCATATTTCTGACTACCCTATGAAGAGAGTGAACGCCATAACATTGGCTGTCTTGAAATAGCGGCTGAAAACGTCTTTTGCTCAGCCCAATTGCATACCTGGCTGCCTTCCTATCATGTACATTCTACCGACAATCATGCATCGGCCACTCCTTTGCCCCTGCTAGTGCTTACTCATTTGGCTCAACATCGGCCCTCATTACCTATGATGATCACGACTTTCGCTTAAATGAAGCTGGGAAAAGCGTAATTTTTCTGCTACTTGTGTATGAACTATTGTCAAGGTCGTTAAACCTCTTCGTACTTCCTTCCTTGAGCATGGAGATCTCCGACCAATTCAAACTTGACCCCCTGTCTACCTCACGATCGATTCGACTAGTAGTGCTCCAAAGAAGCGCGAAGAGAGAATCTTTTCAAGAACCTCTCAGCTGCTGCCTTGTAGAAGCGAACGTGGACTGCCCGCCCTCATACGTTGCGCTATCTTATACCTGGGGCGGAGAAGAGCCGTGCGAACCGCTCACAATACGAACCTCTGAATCATCCACCAATCAATTGTTAATAACTCCTAACTGCGCTGCAGCACTGAGGTTGTTGCGTCGATCCCTTCAGCGAAAATCGAAGAACCGCCGTAGCTTGAGTGTCTGGATAGATGCCATCTGCATCGTCCAGACATCCGACGATGAACGCAATGCTCAAGTGGCCATGATGGCCGAGATCTACCAGCGCGCAAAAACTGTAGTCGTTTGGCTTGGAGAGGATCATGCACCGGCAACTTGGGGCAGTCTGGCATGTTCGAAGCCTCTGGCCTTATTCCCACGTCTGGGGTATGATCGCGGTCGTAATGAAGGACTAAAGAGCTTAGCTGCCAGAATAGCTCTGAAAGGTACGATGCCGCACATATCCTGATCAAATTTTCTTATCGATCTCTAATCAAGAAAAAGTTTGCAACAATGATACGCTACATCACTTGAGACTATCACCCTACTGGACACGGGTATGGACGCTCCAAGAATTCGCCCACAAGAACTCCGCCGTCCTCTGCCGTGACTCCCGACTCTTCGTCTTCTCAAGCCTTGCCCGTCTCCTCGCAGTGGCACCAAAAGATGAGAGCGTACCAAGTCAGCAGGGCATGGACCTACATGTGGACCTCTACGAATGGCAAGCAATGGCAACGGTACGGCCGTTCCGCGCAGCAACGAACCAACTTCGTCGCGTCCTTACAATGCAAGCCTCAGAGCCGCGAGATAAGATCTTTGCGCTACGGGCACTGTCCCCAGGTGTGCTCGGCAAGATGATGGTGGACTACCGGAAACCTGTCGGAGAGGTCTTTCGGGACGCAACGAGGCTTATGGTTGAAGAGGAGGATAGCTTGCGGGTACTGTACTTTTCTAACCGGAAGAAGACGACGGCCGGTGTTGCGTGGGAGACCATGCCGTCGTGGACAGTCGACTTTGCGACTACGGATTCCGAGGTGAGGGGGTCGTATAAGTACTACTATACCAGTCTTTGCGCAGCTTCTGCCGGCGCCAAGTCGTATTTCGCGTTCTCTGGCGACGGGAGGAGACTTACTCTTCGAGGGGCACGTGTAGGGAAAGTAGGGAGTTTTGTGAGCGACAAATTTCCTACCAAGAGCCAGTGCTCTGAGGGAAGATGCCATGACCATGACAAGATGATGGCAGACAAAGACGAAGAGTGTGAGGAGAAGCGACCCTTTCCGCACGTCTGCGAAAGCCCGTATTTAGATGTACTCGGCGACTTCATGAGGAGCGTTACGAGCACCATCTGGGCAGGACCCAAGCTCGACGCTATGGGCCGCAGTCTCTACGAGTTGCTGTGGTGGATCATCCAAGGACCAAAGAAGCGTGAATGGTCGACATCCATGTCATCAACGTCAACTTCAACATCCACATCATCATCGTCATCTTCCAACAAGGCGGTACGAGGTATGTCAGTCGTCTCATCACTCGTCAAGTGGGACTCGCGGCGCGGGTGCCAGTGCCGAGTCGAACTCCGGCTAGGACGGTTATTCTACACGCTTGACAGGAGGGCTGGATTTGGAGTTGTTGGCGTTCGGGAGGGTGATGACGTTTGCCTTCTCGCTGGGATGGATCATCCGTTTATATTGCGGCCTTGTAAAGGTGAGATCGGAAGGTATACGATAGTAGGACCAACGGTGTTTGCTGGTGCGATGGGCGGCGAGATGTGGCCGACCGATGAGGATGAGCTCGAGTACTTTGAGGTTGTGTAAGACACGATGTAAGAAATTGTGTAAAACTATATTAGAGGGTATGAAGCATTTTCTCGCGACATTCCCAGATGGCAGGAACATCTGTTCAATGTTAGATTAGTAGTTGATTATACAGACGTGTAGAAGCGATTGATGAAGCTCCGTAGCATGCTCTCTACTTTCGTGAAGAAGCGCGTCAGAACTCAATCCCTCGGCCCCTGAAGTGCCAGTATCTGCGACTAGACTTTCGATAGGAAATGAGAAATCCTTCAGGACGAGCGGGCACTAGCTTTGTGAATTGACTCTGACAATTCAGCATCGGACCTTTCCTTCGGGCAGTCCGACCGAGTCAATCATCTGAAGAGTACATGCTTTGCTCCCAATTCTCCAAGCGCGGACGTACAAGCCATCTTGTAGTCCATACTCAAGCCCAGCTTCAAGAATACATAAGAAGCAACAGCCCTGTCGAGGCTGACAACAAATGACGTTGTACTGGAGTTCTCCGTGTGTGCGTATGTGCGTCGTACGTGCGGTGTGCCCCTCTTTGTACAACACATCAACTTGCCAACAACCATTTTCTCGCTGCTGCCCCGCCACTAAGCCTCGTCTCGGAGCCTCACTTTAGGGGTGTTGCCAGTTGAAGAGGTGGGTTAATTGACTTTAGGCTGTGCCTTCATGCAAGACCATCCCTGACTCTCACCAACCTAGGATGAGTGCTCTTTTTGAAAAAGTGCGCCCAACGGCCCCCCGCCGCCGATGATGAAAGTACGGTTCGGACGACTCTGAAACCCCAAGTGAAGCACCTCAAAGGCCGCCAAACGGCCCCTCCAACCGGAACCAACACCAAGTTGCCAACCCCTCTTCTGGCGGAAATCTCATCGGCCTCATCCCGGTACGGCACCCAAACATCCGATCCAGAGCCCTTTGCCGCTTCCCACATGATCATGCGGGAAGCTCCTGAAAGTGTAATGCGAATTGGGCTATTGGAGGACGAAGAAGAGAGTTAGGGTATAGCAGACAAGCAGACTCTCTCTTTGCCCACTGATATATGGGCCAGTCTGTGCCCGCATGAAAGTCGTTACATCGAATGACATCTTTCCCTTCTCTCCCCCCTGGGCCTCTCCCTCTGCGCTCTCATTCCTTCCATCCCATCTTCTACTCATCGCAGGCTTGGCGCTTTTACGCGCATAACGCATTTCCCTCACGAGCTTCCATCATCAGGCGGGCGATTTTCAAAGAAAGAAAAAGATGGCGAGACTCACAAGCTGGCTTATCCTCTCAGCATGGGGAGGAGCAGCCTCCGTATCGGCTCAAGGCCTTCACGAGTTGGCTGTGAAGTCAGGGAAGCTCTTCTTCGGCACGGCGACGGACACGAACCTCTTCAACGATGCGGCGTACATGGCGGTCCTGAACAAGACGGGCGAGTTCGGCCTCGTGGTGCCGGAGAACAGCCAGAAATGGGACGCGACGGAGAAGACACAGAATGAGTTCCAGTTCACGAATCCGGATTCCGTGAGGGCCGTCGCGCAGGCGAATAAGCAGATGATGAGATGTCATGCGTTGACATGGCACTCTCAACTTCCACAATTCGGTGCGTTCAGGCTCGTCCTTGAGCTTAAAGCCTCGAACATCCAACTCAATACTGACCAAAGACCACAGTCTCAACGGGCACCTGGACCCCAGAAACCCTCACCTCCGTAATCCAAGCACACATCTCCAACGTGGTAACGCACTACAAAGGCGCCTGCTACTCATGGGACGTCGTCAACGAAGCCCTCGCCGACAACGGCACTCTCCGCGACAGCGTCTTCTCCCGCACGCTCGGCGCTGACTTCATCCCCATCTCCTTCAAGGCCGCCGCGGCAGCCGACCCGGCCGCGAAGCTGTACTACAACGACTTCAGCCTCGAGTTCAACTCCAACAAGACGGACGGCGCCGTCAAGATCGTGCAGGATCTCAAAGCTGCAAACGTCAAGATCGACGGCATCGGGTTCCAGTCGCATTTTCAAGTCGGCAAGACGCCGTCGCAGGATACGCTGAATAAAGTCATGACGCGCTTCACGGATCTGGGGCTGGAGGTTGCGCTTACGGAGTTGGATGTGCGGCATGATAAGTTGCCTGCCGATGATGCTGCGATCCAGCAGCAGGCCAAGGACTACGGCACCGTCGTTAAGACGTGCGTGGATAACGCAAAGTGCGTCGGCATCGTGGTGTGGGAGTTTACGGATAAGTACAGCTGGATCCCGTCCACGTTTTCGGGGGCCGGGGACGCGTGCTTGTTCGATAAGGATATGAAGCCCAAGCCGGCGTATACGGCTGTTGCGGCGGCGTTGGGAGGGCCAGCAGTAGCAGCAGCTCCGGTGGCAGCACCGGCGCCGGCGGCTGGGGCTCAGGACGCGGAAGTGGTGCTGTCGTCGGGAAGCAGTGCATCTGGTGCCGGGGCCGGGATTGGGGCCACCGATGCCGATGCCGGGACCGAATCCGAGGCCGATGCCGACAGCGGAGCGGGGGCATCCTCAAAATCAAAGGCGAAGAGCAATGTGGAGGCAGCGACCAAGTCACCTTCCTCTTCGGGAACACCTCGCTTTGAAGCGGTGCTGCTGATTTCACCGCTGGTAGCCACCGGTATCGGCTGGCTCTTTTGGTTGGTGATATGATTTGTTAGACGCTTCTTTCTTGTTACTTAGCTTTTTCTCTTGATGGCACAATTTTTGATACCAATTGACAATATATCTCCCGGATCTTTCCCATCCCAGAACTTTGAGATCGCCGATAGCAAATCATTGAGGATTGACGTGCTTCGGCTGCGACGTTGCGTGTGTCAATGGGAGCCCGGTGCGCGGGTGGTGTAAGTGAGGAGATGGATGATGTCATGCCGGCAACCACCTCCACTGATAAAAGAGAGACCGGGGGGGCTGGTTAAGCGGATAGGAATCGGGATGATGCGATTTCAAAGCGAAGAGGGGAAAGAGAAATTCTGCCAAAAGATCGCGGTTCCCATCAATTGAGCTGTCCCAGCCATTGTTCATCAACCTGTGAATAGCATCCAAATACTGTGGACTGGAAATCACAGTGAGAAGCAGGTTTCTGAATAGCTTCACTATGGTGTACCTCAAGACACTAGTCGCCGCCGCCGCCGCCGCCGCCGGCGCAGGCCTGGCCCAAGCTTCCCTCTCTGGCCTCGACAAGATCCCTCCTCTGGGCCTTGGAACATGGCTGTCCGACAAGAGCAAAGTCGCCGACGCCGTTGCCTTTGCCGTGGGCGAGGTAGGCTACAACCATATTGACGCCGCTCTCATCTACCGTAAGTTCCATCTCGTAACTCACATGCCCTTCCTCACATGCTCACGCGAGTCAAACAACTCACACGAGTCATCCGCATCTCTCACTTCAAACCACTTTCATCGAGATCCATCGTCCCGCAAACTGACGACCCACCCCAGGAAACGAAGACCAAACCGGCAAAGGCCTCGCCTCCTCCGGCGTTGCCCGCAAAGATGTCTGGGTCACCTCCAAGCTCTGGAACACCGACCACCGCGCCGACCGCGCCGCAGCCGCCATCAAGAAGTCCATCTCGGACCTGGGCGTAGACTACCTCGACCTATACCTGATCCACTGGCCCGTCGCCTTCATCCCCGACGACCCCAACAACACCCTCGACCGCGAGACAACCCTCGTCGACACCTGGAAGACCCTCGAAGGCTTCGTCAAAGCAAACCTAACCCGCCACATTGGCCTCTCCAACTTTGCCAAGGCCGACGTCGAGACAATCTTGAAGGCGGCAGAGATCAAGCCCTACGCCCACGAGTTCGAAACCCACCCGTACCTCCAACAACAAGAGTTCGTAGACTGGCACGAGGAAACGGGCATCGAGGTCATCGCCTACTCCCCGCTCGCCAACACGAACCCGACGTACAGCGACGACCTGCCCGCCATCTACCAGGACAAGTTCTGGGTCGACGTCGCCGCCAAGAAGGGCGTTTCCGTCTTCCAGGCCGTGCTGGCGTGGGGTATCCAGCGGGGCACGAGCGTGATTCCCAAGAGCACAAAGGACTCGCACATCATTTCGAACCGCAAGGCGCTCGAGATCGAGTTCACCGAAGAGGAGTTGAAGGAGATTGCCAAGCAGGATAAGAAGCACCGCTTGAGTAACCCGGGTGCCAAGTGGGGTGTCAAGCTATTTGCTGATTTGGATGATCCTGGCAGAAACGAGCCCACGAGCGAGGAGCTTTAAGCAACAGCTCGGGAAAACTAGAATATTGAAACGATTAAGGGCTATCTAGTGTTATCTAGCCTAGTCTCCAAGATGTAATCATCGCACGTGTCTTTCTTGTGTCTCTCGCAAGTAGATACATAAGTGCAATTTGCTAGCTATTGATATGTGCCACCTCCATCGATGAAACACATCGTTCTACTGGTTTAATCAGTGGTCGGCCCTATTGCAATGGGCATAATACTTCCTCCTAGCCCAGTAAAACCCAAGCCCGACAATCCACAGCACAATCAAGATGAGCGCCTGCACAGGAGCAAAGATAGCGCCTCTCACAACCACAAATCCACTGACCAGCGCAAACACAATGGGGATCAGTACAAATGGCTTGTACGGTCTACGCAGCTTCGGCTCTCGAACGCGTAAAATGACGGCACCAAGGACTGTCAAAAAGAAGAACGTGTACTCGCCTAGACCGTTGAAGGTCAAAAGGGCTCGGAAGTTGCCAAACAGAATGTACAGCGCCGAGAGAATCGTCGATAGCAAGAGCGCGTTGAGCGGTGCGTCGGATCTCGCGTGCGCAGGCCCAGACGAAGCATCGGCGGACGAATCGGCTGGCGAGCTCTCCTCCGACTTGAATCCCACACGGCCTACGAAGCCGAGGAACTTGGGTAGCCAGTTGAAGTTTGATGCTGCGACGGTCATACGGCCCGCGACGAAGGAGTTGCCGAGGAGGGAGCCGGCAACAACGAGGCAGATGAGGACTGCAGCGACGATGCCGAAGGCGGGGCCGAGGAGGCGGTTGATCGCGGTCTAGCTATTGTGAGCACGGGAAAGGAGTAAATTGAGGAGGTTGGTGGGCATGACTTACGACTGCCACGCTGTCGGTCGAGGCAACCACATTCCAGGGGAGAAGGATATAGTAGGCTGCATTGGCCGCGATGAAACATAGAATGATGGTCGGTACGGCAGTGTTGATGGCCAGAGGGAGCTGGCGTGCCGGCTGCTGAAGCTCAGCAGAGACGTAGACGGCCTTGACAACGTTAGATGCACCCACTAATAGATACCAGGACGAACGACGTACCTTGTCCCAGCCAGAGTACGCCCACAGAGCACCGTAGAGCGCAGCAGAGTAGTAGCCAAGCATATCCCACGTCCCAACCTTGTTCCAGTCCAGCTCGCCGCCACCCGGCAAAGACGTCTTGCGGTTCCCGAACCAGGGCTTATTGAACCAGTCCCGTCCGCCAACATCACGGTCGTGGTCCGATACTTGAAGGATGACGACGACGATGCCGGCAAGCACCACGGCAAAGATACTGGTAAACTTAGTCACGACAAACAAGTTGTTCAAGCGAGTGCTCGCCTTGGTGCTGATGGAGTTGGCGCCGTTCATAACGACGAGAATCAGAATCGAGAACAATTTGTGCGGGAGAGCCCCGGCCTGGTCGGTCACCCCGCCGGCGGAGTAGATGCTCTCGACGAATACGATGCTGAGGATGGCGAGGGTGGCTGGCATGACGGCCACGATCCAGGTCCAGGCGGCAAGGAAGCCAAAGACATCGCCATAGATGTGCTGCAGGAAGGGCTGGACACCGCCTGTTCACATCGTCAGCGCTATCGTACCACACAGAGACTCGTCAAAGGGGGTTGAACTCGCCTTCACCAGGGATCGCCGTCCCCAGCTCAGCCATGGTACTCGCACCAGTCCACGCCAGGACACCACCAACAAGCCAAACTATGAGCGCAGCTCCGGGAGACGGGACATTTGTGTCGATGGAACCCGGAGAGGTGAACACGCCGCTACCAATGACGATGCTGATGACAATGGCAAACGCCTCGACGGCGCCGAGGTTCTTGGAAAAGGTACCGGCCCCGCGCTCCTCGGCGATGAGGACCGGAGGTTCAGGCCCATCGGTGCCGCCGTACTCATGATGGGGGTCTGCCAAGAGGGGCCGTTCCGCGGCATCTTCGGATTGTGTGTTGGACGGCATCTTCCCGTTTTCGTCTGCTTACCAGCGAGGGATCGTTGCCAATTGGATGAGGGGGTCCGGAAAGATGTCGAGGGAATGAGGGACAGGGAGTGAAGGAGCTTGGAGCTTGAAGCTTGGAGCTGGAGCTGGAGCTTGGAGTCACCCGACGAATCAGGCATAGTGTCTTTGCTGTATCGGAATGGGGATGAGCTCATCGATGGCCGGTACGTAACTTCGAAGAGATGGTCCAAGCACTGAGGTGGTCTGAACGCCGGGTCTGCTTTTACCAACCGTTCACTTGTACCTAGGCAGGAGGCGGCCCGCTTTGGGCAAATTACCTAATGCAGAGGTCAACGGAACGCTGCGTCTCCGCGCCGAGAGCTTGCCTGCCACCGTAAGTGGAATTCACCGGAGTGAATGCCGCCGGACCAGATCCCGTCGGAGTAACGTCCGTCGGAGTGGACTCCGGGATCATCATATCTACGTCTCATAGCTTCAATGAGGGGTGAGATGCTGTCAAGTTCCAAAGAGCATTGAAGTATCATGGCTCGAGTTCGCATAAACCAAGAGCATCATTCATGTTGCTTCGCGCACACGACTGCCTTGGCCCAAGACAGTCAGTGCTATGAGGATGCCAGGTACTAAGTACTGGCCGATTGACTCTTGAGACTCGTTCTATAGTTGAAGATTTACATTAGGGTGCTAGCAACGAAGATCGTTGAGCAAGTACTCAAGCGCTCTAGATGAGAAGTACGCTTGATTAACATTGTTGTACGCAGCATGTTGTTCTCCGAGATTCTGCAACGTATCATCGAGACTCTCAACTATGGAGCCCACGGCACTGTACACATGAGGCTCGATTCTAGCGAGCGAGAGCACTGACTGAATAGTCACGGAGGTACTCTCCTTGGGCAGTTGTGAGAGTGGTAGCTGGCGGCCAAGTGAGCCGAGAGCAGTGGCCATGCGTACTTGCCTGTCAGACCATTGAAGGGCTGACTGGGTAGCAGATTGAGGATCACTCTCAAGAAGTGATGATGCGCCATCGCGCGCAACGGGTGACGTAGCTTGCTTGAATCGGAAAAAGACAACAAAGTCACCACTAGATGTGGACAGCGGCGCCCAGAGCAACCCGGATATGGTACGAGCACTTGCAGCGATCTCCACATCAGGCAGTTCAGCCGCCACGTCTGTCGAAATGATGACAGATTCACTTCGGTATGGTTGGATACACCGCACAATCGCCGTTGCCTCTTGGTACAACTCTTCGCTAGGCTCTCCAAGTCTGCCAATCTCTCCTCTGGTAGACGTCAACGCAAAATCGGCGCCAAAGAGGCGCAAGAGGTCCTGTGACGCTGCGGTGCTCTCGGTGGGATATCGGATCGAATCGCGTTGAGCTTGTGACGATTCAACATGGCCCAGCATAGAAGCGTATGACAGTCTTTCGATCGCGACCCCAGATGTACTGCCAATGAACTCGCACATTTGGCGTTTGGAAATGGGTAGTGGTGTTCCTTCAGGACTATACCCGTAGCAGACTACCAGCCCCCATCGCTTACCAAAGGCGTTGATTGGAATGGTCAAGAAGGAGCGAGCTTTGCAGTCCTCGGCCGCGAGCTCTTCAAAGAAAGTTGGCGAAGCTCTGTTGAGGTAGGATCGGTCCAGGTGGATAGATCCGTGCTGATGGGATCCCGCACTTTTCCAGACGAGTCTCGCAGGACTAGCATCGCTATCGTGTAGAATCCTGAGGTGACTCGGGAAAGGCGACTGATGGTTAACGTTGCCGGCGCGGGAGGGCCTCGTGAAATGTATGCATCGCTGCGAGCCCCGCCATTCCCTGTCGGAGGTGTCGAGTATCGTTATAGCCATGAACTCGTCGATGCGATACAAAACGACTCTATCGAACCCCGTGACCTCTTCCACTGCAGCCACGATGGTTTCGGGGACCGCCGCGAGACCTGCTATGGCGGCGAAGGATGCCTGTATCTCTGACATGATCCCAATTGCCTGCATAGTGCTCAACTCCACACTATCTTTTCCGACTCTCCTAAACATTCGAGGGGTTTTCGTCACAACGTCTCTCGTGTAACTTCGTTGACCCACTGGGGTGGCAGAGCCATCCTCGTGTGGCTCGAATTCGCAAACGATCGTTTCGGGGCCTGGAGAGCCCCTAGTGAGGTGCATGGAGCACCAAAATCTTGTAGCTTCGCCATGTTTGGGGATAATCGACAGGTTGAAAACAGCACGGCCACCTGTAGCTCCTACATCGGATTTCTCTTCTCTGAGCAAACCAAGCCGAGCCATCAAGGTTCTCACATCGTCTCGCTCCAAGATGCTGCCAAAGTCTTCGAGTCCGAACAGGTCATCCGGGGAATAACCTGTAAATGTGGCCGAATTGTCGCTCGCGCAGTTGACCACGAGACGGCTGGCATTGTCCTCGTTCACGATGAGTGCAACCAAGAAGCCAAAGTGCTGTATAGTGTTGGACGCGGGCTCGAGGATGTTATCGAGATGTTGGTGTATTTGGACATCGTCGTCGATTGGGCGTGCAGGCTGAGCCATAGCCGCCCCGAACGACTAGACTGTGCCGTGTCTCTAGCTTATCCGCCACATATGATGCCGATGGACCACGTGTAGATGAATGCCGGATTGAAAGATGGCGTCAGGAAGTACGAGCGATAATTGCAAAGAACACAAGGTTTGCGAGTGATATTTTCGTCTGGTTTCGCTTGCATCGGTGTAGCCAGGCCTGCAATAATACCTAATAGTACATGTAAGCACTGACAGATGTTGATGCTTCGTGAAGAATATCACTCAACATCAGCGACCGTTCTGGAAAACGACCGTGGCAAAATCTTCTTTCCTTCTGCCCACGGGAATAGATCGAGTCATGAGCGCTGGCCCGTTGCTAGCAAATGCGCTTGGCGCCGTTCAAAGCGTTATTCGTGAGGATTGAAGAGGTCGAAGGAACTGACAGGACGCGAGTGGCGGATCTCAACACACATTGAAGCCGATGTACAAACATTTGCCTGCGACATGTCAATCGAACTTCAATCGAGTCGAATCGAAAGAAGTTCACCCACACGTGGCCGTAGCCATTTCGGGAAATGTACGTAGCCTGACAATCTTATTTCTGCGTCTTGCGCCTTCCCCCCGTTGTTATTCGCGACTGCCCGTCCAGAATGACCGGATGATTGGCGGCTTCTGACGTCACTGCTCAGTTTTCTGGATTTTAGACCCCGAGAGCCTGTTGATTCCTAAATTACCTAATGGCCGTATTTGGGACGAAAGAAATTGTGAGTGGTTTCGTCGAAATCCCGTTTAATGTGTTGGAACAGCACAAGCCGGGCTGCACGCTTGAGTGGGTTCACGCATTCCGGGACAAGGCGTATCGCCACTATCAGACCGTTCAAGAAGAATCATCATTATGAAGTTCAAGTCTCTTCGGGTATGGAGGAAATAAATAAAAATAAAAAGAGATGCTTCAACGATGGATTCTCTCGCTGACGCTCAGCGCATACTCCTAGAACGCCTCGCTTAAATGTCATGAATGCACTGCTCCCTTACGCCGCCCACTGCCATGTTTGCCTCCCAACAATCTCACCGCTAAATGTGTCTCGCCATCGTCTCTTGGGTTTGTGGACGTGCAATGGAAGCGTTCTTGCGTAAATGATGCGCATATAATAGTCCACAAACATTACAGAGTGTCCACCGACCGTCGGGTCCGTCCCTCCATTGCGGCGTGCTCGTTGCCTGGCAGGAGTGGCAGCAAAGGGAGTCGTCCATCACACGCTTCTATTATCGCGATAATTTAGTTCATGACATCTTGTTGACGGATTGGAAGGGATTACTGAGGGAAAAGGGAGCCTACCACTTTTGAAGTGCGATCAAACGCCGCCACGGTGGAAGAGCGCCTTTTCCTGGTCGCTCTGGGGCTCACAGACTGTTGCCGATCTGCATCTGTGGTGCTTCTGTAGGACAGCAGCGCGAGATCATCTAGGTTGCTGGCGATGACCTCTGATAAACTCTGCGCAGCTAGTATTCTCGAGTTATTGCTCGTCGTCTCTCTAGAGCAATCGCCGCACTCGCAGCCGCCTTTTGAACAGGTGCCATCGACCAAACCCTGAATGTTTTGGAGCAACTGTCTCGCATCGTTGTGAATCTAGGACCTTCCGTGTAAGTCGCCACTTGCACCGATCGAGAACGACAAGGGATGAACCGACATCGTCAACAAATTCGACTCACTCTTTGTATCATCTCCGTCGCCTTGATCTGGTCAAAGGATATTGGCGGTAGCGGCGAGTGGGCATCGGCATCGTCCGGCGCTGCATCGGACGCGAATGCATTCGCCGCCGCCTCCCCCTCCGCCTCCGCCGACATCTGCAACCCGAGCTTGGGCCGTTTGTGGTTCAGCTGCGCATCGGGTTTGACGGAAACCATGGAAAAGTCGATGGGATATGGATGGGAATGTCGATGGGAATGTCGATGTGTTGGGGATCGAGGTTTCGAGGATCGAGATTCCGGGTTTGCGATCACAGGAATCGAAGAAATCGAAGAAACCGATCGGGAAACTGCATGGGGACAGGATGGCAAATTGAACAAGGCCCAGGCGAATTCTGATTAATCGTGTGATGCAAAAGTTGGATGGAAAAGAGCGACAGGATCGGGTATTTGGCTGAGGGATCGGATGTGCTGAGGTACGACAGTTTTATCGAGATTCGATTCCCTCGGGGGCGACTTCGAGAACAGCGCAGTTCCTCCCATCTACCACCGTAATAACGAAGGCCACAGTTATGACGGACCGTTCTTAGGACCCTGCTTAATTGAGAAACTGACAAATTAGCGTGCATGCTATCCGTATGTATCCGTAATTCCGTATGGGCAGGCACCGCGTCTTTTCCCCTCTCTCCAACAAACTAACAACCTGGAAAGGGTAAGAAGGGGTCCAAGGGTCCAAAAACTGGGCTGTCTCAAGCAATCAGGGTCTTTAGGCAGTAAGGTACGTACTCGATGTACTTTACTCA